CTATTCAATTATTCATGCGCACAAAAAGGACTTCTGAGCAGTGACCACTTGGACAGCTGCCTATCTATCTACTAGTATCAATTTATAAAACATATAGGGTGTTGTTTGGTTGAGCAATGGGTGTGGAAACAGTAATGCAATCAATTGCCAGTGTCGGCTGTTACAGGGGAACTAAAGTTGCTATTTGTTTGGTTCACGGTGTGAGTGCTACATGTTAAGTTCTTCTCTTCTCCTCCTTGGAGGAAGAGGAAAACTTCTTCTTCTTGGCCGGCACAGGGGCGGGGGACTAGGTGGGCTTGGTCTTACGAGGTCGACCCCATGGCGGGAATCTTAGACACCCTCGCAACCGCTGGCACCTCCGCGGTGCCGCGGGGACTCGGCCTTGGGCGCCTGACCAACGCTGATGCGGGAGCCTGGTGGCATGGGTGGTTGGTGCGATAGTTGGCTTTAAGGAGATCTTGGGCACGGGTATGGCGCGGGCGGCACGAGAAATGCGGGGCGGAGCACGAGGGTGCAATGACGGGGAAACAACGCTGAAACTACGCGAGCAGATCGCATGGGGAGGAGAGGGGTAGTGGAGTTGTGCTAATCTACATCGGTTCACACTACGATATTATCACCCGGTCTATCCAAACACAAAGCAACAACGCAACCCATTCACATTGTGCACCGATGGGTAGTCTGGAATCGTGAAAACAAAACAGCCTCTAGGTTAAATTCATGTTGATAACCCGGTGTCAGAAAGAGAGGTTCGTGCATGCATGTTAGGCCACTCTCAGAGAGGATTTTTCATGTTTGTTGAAAAAAGTGGCAAGTTTTATTCCCATGAAACTTATTTCATCTCATCGAACTTTCATCATCACATTCATTTATATTATACCATGTTAGCTTATTTAATGCCCATGAAACTTTCATAGAACCCACACTAATACCAACCAATAGTACCAAAAGAATATTAGGGAAAGAAATGAATCAACATCAGATGATGTCCGTGTCAAGACCCCAATGCAAATGAAAGACTAATTAAGATAATAGGGAATGGTTCTTTTTTCGAATAGGATAAAAGGGAATAAACAATGTGCATCAGCTTACGTCCTATTTATTTGGGCTGGTTTGACTTATAAGCCATGACTGAAAGTACTGTTCGCTGGTTTAGTGTGAGAGAAAAATATTGTTCGTTGGCTTATAAACCAGATACGAGCAAGCGAACATGCTGTTAGTGCTGGAGTGCATATACTTATCTTGATATAGCTTAAGACCTAGTCTTGCATAGGTCAAGCTAGTCGTGGAACAAAGGTATCGAAGATGTACCTTGTTAAGCATATCCAAAACCTTGCTGGCATGCATGTTCGTTGTCTCCTAAAAACAAGCTTTTGGAAGCTTCTCTGAACTTGGAGCTCATGTACACTGCGTACGGCTAGCTGTCGCTGTTGAGTGACACCTCCGAAAGTTTCCAGGAAATTCAGCTGATGCTGCCTTCGTTGTTTGCAACAACCGACACCAAAATGAATTCACTGACGACTCGATCCATCGACTCTGCTTGTGAGCCACAGTGCAATGACTAGTAGGAGTACTATTGTACTACTAAGCAAGTGGCTTCGTCAACCATCCCTTTAGAAATTAATTAAACGCGTAGTGTGCGCGTACAGTTTATTTGTAGGTCTACCATATATATGTGCTCTAGCTAGAAGCCGGTGTGACTACATATATGTGGCCTAGTGTGTGTTTGTTAATGTATCAAATGATATAGATATACTCAGCAATGGCTTGACGTGACCAAAAATATATAGATAATAATAACCTACAGTTAGAAGTGTTATACTCGATCAAGAGCTATATAATAACCTACGATTACAAGTTTTCCAATGTCTAGGCCGTTTTAGTTTTGTTTTATGCCGAAAACTTTTTATAACTTTGGCTAAAAATTTGCACAAAAGATATGTTATCGTTTACAATATTGCATGAAAGATTTAATGAAAACTAACTAGATGCTCGTAAAATTTTCTATATATTTGATCAAAGTTATATAAGTTTGACTTCGAAAAAAACTGAAATGACCTACGTTTTGGAATATAGGGACTATAATTGTTCTGTCTTTGATCTCAACGGCATGACTACTATATATACCTCATGGAGTCATTGCGTCAATTAAGGAAATAATTTCACATATTTATTCTTGTTTGCACATTTTGTGTAAAAATTGCCAACAATAGTAAGGTAGATTTTATTTAGATCTAGTAAAACTTTTATGGTTTCGTTTCCTTAATCAATATTAGTTCATCACAATTGGGTGCATAAGCGGTCATACAAGGGAGTAGGAGTAAGTGAAACTGGGCATACATTGAGTGCCAGCAGTGGTGGGTAGATAGGGTTAAGTGTTTTTGCCTGATGACTGCGTTTCATTTGTTTTTCTCTCTTTTTTTTCTCGTTTTTATTTCTTGTTGAGACCATGGAGAATTTTGGGATAAATAGAAAAGTTATACGATGTCAGTGTGACAATTATATAGGTAATTCAAGAGTGATTCACAAAAGAATTGAAGAGTGATTCATAGTATCTTCTTCCAGAAAAATATTGTATTGATGGTATATAGGAAATAAAGAAATTCAGCAGCTTTAAACCTTAATCAGACATGGTTTCTCCAATATATATGCATGACTATGTACCTATTTTATTACAGTATATAAGAGTTTTGTAATAAAATAAAATAAACCTCTTGTGATGATGTACAAACGCATGAGGATGAGCATTTGTAATTTGCCACTTTCAAACGAGTATCGTTTCATATGAACTTGAATAACCTAATGGGCCCCACGTCATCATCTCCAGACAAGGCATCAACAACCCTCGCCGCCGTCTCGCTCTCGCCGTGCACGGGCACGGCGACATCGAACGCCGCTGCCGCCCTGTGTCGGCGCATGTGTCCGCCGAGCGCCTGCCCAGTGGGGAACACGGCGCCGCAGGTGGTGCACCGGTGCACGTCGCTGGCCGCGGCCGTGGCGGCGCCCTTCCCTGGCCGCGCGCCGAGGAGGAGATCCAGGCCGTGCGCGCGCACCAGCGGCCGCTTGTGGCTCGTCCGGTGGCCGCCGAGCGCCTGGAACGTCGGGAACGCGCGCCCGCACGTCTTGCACGTGAACGCGCCGCCGCCGGCGCCGGCCCGGTTCTGATGCTGGTGGCCGCCGCCATGCTGCTTCACGATCACCTTGCTCGCCGTCGACAGCGACAGCGACAGGATCAGTCGCCGTAGCAGGTTGTGGCTCGCCACGGCTTCCGCCGCCGTCGGTCGTTCGGTGGTAGTGCCGATGGCCATGTCCGATCGATCCACAGCTAGCTTTTTCACGTATGAATATACTACACTAGATCACGTGAGGATAAGTAGTATATATATTAGCACGTGCCTAATATAATACGTACTAAGGTGCTGCTTCTATGGACAATAAAGCAAGCTTGTATTGAATGTTTCGATGCTAAGCAATGGCGCCATATTTATCGGCGCGCCAGGATGCATGCATGCCAGAAGCATGCATTGACCTGACCTCAAGTCAACGTCAAGCTCGCCAGCGAACTGAGCTCGATCGCAGCGACCAATGGCAGGGCGAAGCTTCGGCGCTTTTGCTCGGCAGCGAGTTGTCCGGTTCAGATCGATTACTTGCTTACCAAGTGGGGACGCGCGCGGATGGCGTGTGAAGTCGCTGCGTGCACGTGGCGTCACATGTACAACGACCTTGGAGCGCTTAAACGAGGAAAGAGAATAATTAATCAACAAACTGCTGAAGAGCCTTCACCTACAACGGGAAAAGCTACCATCCTCCGAGTCAAGCGCCTAGCTAAGCGGCGGCGTTGTACGTGGTCTGAGATTCGTGCGGAAGTTACATGGAGATGATGCGCGTGGTAGGCACACGCTGACTGGTGCACAAGGGAATGTTATTCAAGGGGCTCAGCGTAAAAACCACACGCCTTTTCCAGCGATAATATCCTAGTTTGAGGCTCTTATCACTTGCATTCCGTCCGAAAAAGAATCAAATTCAGCTCTCTTGTTAGTCAAACTATCTAAAGTCTCACTAAATTTATAGACAAAAGGATCAAGCCGTGCTCTGAGAATACAAACTGTATCTTAGCGTGTCCGGTGCTTGCTAATTTCTCATGCTTTTATTTGTTTTTATTTATTTTATTATGAGATACGAATAGATTAGTACACTACTAACTAACTGCTGATTTTACCTGTTTTTGGTTAGTAGTATGATGCACGCCACATTAAAATGGCGATATAGTACATAGGTTTATAGATAAGTGTTGCACCGCATGATGCGTGCCTTTCAGCATTCCCGCCAACATGCTCCCAAAGCATTTTTCCATCGGTTGCCAGCGGGTAAATGTGTTGCACGATGCATTTGTTTCACTACTAAAAAAATGTTTGTAGCAACGGGATAATTTTTTGTAGGAGCGGCTGGTGATGGAGCCGCCCCTACAGTGGGCGTGCTCGAGACCCATCAGACCAGCCGTCCCTACAAATGGCACAGTAAGGGCGGCTGGTGATACGAGCCGCCCCTACAAATGAGTCGATTTGTAGGAGCGGCTCACTCACCAGCCGCCCCCGGTGTTGCGATTTGTAGGGGCAGCTCAATCACCAGTCGTCCCTATAAATGCTGCACGTACAAAAGGCTGGAAGGAGTAGAAATTGAAAGGAACACACGAACATAGTTTCGGTCTCGGACCAAGCCGCAAGGGAACCCAACCAATCAGGAGTGGCAGTGCCCGTCCGCGTCACGCTCTCGTGGGCCGTGGCCGTGCACCCCCACCGCCTCAGCGCGCGTTCTCTCTACGCGTATCCCCGCCTATATTTTATCTAGCGCCAGCCTTTCCCACCCCAAAAAAATTCTCCAATTCCCCACCCCAACGCGTTACCCTAACCAGATTTCGCCGCTTCCTCCCCGTCGACCTCCCCCATCTCCCTCCAGCTAACCCTAGCCCAACCCCCGAGATCTGTTCCGCGCGAGCGGCCATGGCGGAGACGCTCGACATGACCCTCGACGACATCATCAAAAACAACAAGAAGAGTAACTCCTCCTCCGGTGGGGGCCGCCACAGCCGCGGCGGATCCGCCCCTGGCGGCGGCGGCGGTGGCAGCGGGGTCGGGCCTACCAGGCGCCCCTTCAAGAGGTCCGGGAACAGGCATGCGCCCTACCAGCCACCGAAGGTACGAACAGGCTGTTGCTCCGTGTCGCCCGGTGGAGGATGCAGGGGCTTCGAACTTCGCTGACTCGGGCGGGAGGAGATGGTCCGGTGGTTTTTCTCACTGTGGTGTGACGCGATCGATCCAGCCTCGTTCTCCCACTCAACCTCCTCGGATCCGCGTCCCCCCCCATGGCACGCGCGTGGTGGTGGTGGCGGAGGCTGCTTGACGGCAGCCTTCCCAAGGTCAGGCTTAGATGTGCATAAACCTGCAGTCGAAAGGCTTGTATTCCATTGTCTTCCCATGGTAATAAGGAGTTGTGTTCCATTATGCATTGGATCTGGCATTTTTTAGGGATATTGGATCTGGCATCTCACCCAATGCGAACACAGTAGCAATTGCAGGCTATCATTTTCTTTAAATTAATCATGTTTTGCTTTTGGATGCAGTGTAATTTTTCGATGGTATTCCACTGGAAGGGCAGGAAGGCCTAGATTCAGTACTGTCTGCATCTTGGAGGTATGATATGTAGAAGCGAGTCTCTTGCTCTGCCTTTAATTGATTCTTTAGAATTGAATACACATGCAAATCTCTATTTGTTGAAACAGAGATTGAGTGCTACCGCTAAATATTTTAGTCACCACAAGAAATTATTTCACTGTAACACTTATAAGAAGTATGTAGAGATTATGGAAATTCAGAAGAACAAAGTAACTGTTAATGCCAAATTTCCTGTGTTTGGCCCCTGTATATTATCTTGACGCTCTTGGGTTTGCTAAAACTTTGGCAAAGACATATAGAGATTCATCCTGTAAGCATGCTACTACTTCTATTCTGCTAATAACAAAGAAGAAAGAATTGCATGAAGAAACATCAATATTATTCAATTATACACCATTAATCTCACGTTGAGTTGCTAGCTGAGCAACCAATTGCTAAATTGGTTGTAGGATTCCATCAGGGGCTCACACTTGCAGAGTTTCTTTCTTTTCCGCACATTTAGTTCTAGGCAACAAATCTTGGTCAATCTTTTTTCTTCAAAGCACATGGAATCGACTAGGCAACCAGAGCAAGTGTTGTAGAAAAATCGCAAGGGTAATTCTGTGTAAATATTTGCATCTATTATTTATGCAATATTATGGATGATGGGTTGCTACTACAATATGTTGAACTTACAACTTATTTTACTGATGATGGGCCTAAGTAGCTACGTCTGTCTAATTACTTTTCTTATCCTGCAGCATATATGTTTGAGGTACAAATGACTTGCATTGCATATTGATGCAGTAGACCAGGAATTGTGTATAACTTTAGATGAATTAGTTTAATAAACTAGTTGATATTTAATATTAGATCAATTGCCATTGCTGCTGCTACATTTTAATTATCATTTATGATTACTTTCTTGCACATGTGATGGCCAGCTTGTGCTTGTGTCAGCTAAAGCAGCAGCATGCATATGCATGGCTAGGAGTAGTTCCATCTCTACTCAAAACATATTTTCAGTGATACACAGCAGCATGCCATTTCAGAATACTATCTTGTCAAGGCACTTTTTTGTTTATGTCACCACACAAACTAAGCTAGCTTCTGAATCTGTGTATTTTTAAACAGCCCCACAGATGGCAATAGGGTGGACAAAGGCTTCAAGAACTCCCACTACAATCAGTGCTGCTTGTGGCTGTCTCGGCCCTGAGGGCTGCGGAGGAGGAGCGTGCCACACGCGTCTGCGCTGGACTCGCTCGGGCATGCCCAAGCTAGCGCGTGAGCCTCGCAATCTGATCTCGCCCCTCTCCGCTCTTACCAATTCTATCGCTCTCTATGCCAGATCTATCGTCTGTTCCATGTAATCGTTTACTCTATGCTCTCTATCTGTTCATCTCTACTGATGATTAAGATGATTAATCTGTTTATGATTTCGATCTGTACAGGAGACGCAGTGGCTTCTCATGGAACTAGGTTCGTGACTAGTGTTATCTGTGCAAAAAAGTGTTTACATGATTGCTTGGTAGCTACAGCTATAGTAGTACTTCGATGTCTTACTACTCTTATCAGTTGGCTCTTGAACTACAAGAAACAAAAGTAGTTGCTCCTTTTGTAGGATTTACAGATGGTGCTCACACTAGCATTAGTGTTATTAAAAGATAATCAAATAGGATGAAAAAAAGTCATTTGTAATCACTTCCTCATAATATGATATGATTCCTAAATATCTCATCCTTTTTACCGAAAGCCTGTACATAACAGTGTAAGAAATTTAATGTTTTTTGCCCATGTATAGATAGTAGAAAATTGGAACCAGCATCTTCTGAAGGGGCGGTTGTGTAAGAAATTGAATTTTTTTGGCGGAAAAATGTACTGTAGGGGCGGTTGTAGACTGAACCGCCCCTACAAACATATATTATAGGGGCGGCTAGTGTTACCAGCCGGCGCTACAAATCGATTTGTAGGGTGTAGGGGCGGTCTGGGAACCGTCCCTACAAATCGGTGATTTGTAGCCACGTTTTGGTAGGAGCGGCTGGCCAAACCGCCCCTACAAATGCCCATAAGCCGCCCCTACAAAGCCTATCTGTAGTAGTGTTTGGACCAATATGCAAAAACTTACCACGATATCTTTGGATGCAGATGTGGATAACACTAACACCACGTATATGCATGCATTCGAGGAGATATTTCCTCACATAGGAATGTGGACAAAGATGTAGTTTGAATTCTTTGATAGTGGATTCAGAACTCTGTTAGATAATATGACTTGTTTTTTGGTAAAACAAAACCTATTTTTTTGTAATGGGAATTTATTTATTATATTGGCTTAGACACTGGGCGCCATTACAACAGAATGATGGAAAAAACAGAGCTTTTGTTTCACACTTGGTAGTTGCCTCACTTTAGAGTCGGGTCTAATTATTAGATCTGATCAAATTAGGTCAGGCCACGAAAAAATTGTTGCATCAGAATCTTTGGCCCAAATCTGACCAGACGCACTGACGGATCGAGTTGAGTTGGGCAATTTTCTGGGTTTTCTACTTTGGGTCGGGTTTCTTCAAGTTGGGTCAGATCGTCATAGGTTGAAAATCACGACCCCAACCTAACTCAATACATTAGTGGGTTGGTTTTTTTTGTGGATCGTCATAGTGTGTTTAGGTTTTTCGGCGATTTCCCTTTAATAAATTGTGCGCTAGTAAGGTTTTCATACCTGGTTTTCCTTATAAATTGGGTCAATTTCATCTTCTTCTTAATTGAAAGACAGAGCTCCTACCATTACGTTAAAAAAATAGAAGGTTGAAGCTATAACTCTTCTCGCTAAAAAAATGTCCCTATCATATCCCTTGATTAGTTTGTTGCTGCTCTAGTTGGTTCTAGCCTGTTTACCGCTGTTGGTAAATTACCTTTTTATTTTAAGTGTCAAATCTTTGCTGGTAATCCTTAGCTTAGCAGAGTCTGTTGTATTGTGTTTGCTTCTGCTTCCTCTTAATGAAACACATGCTCTGAGGACACAATCACGGAAAAAAGAAATCCAGTGGTGCACGAGAGCACATGCTCTTGGGGGGCAGAATTTACTTTCTCCTCCTATCAGCTATCAGCTAGTAGCATGCATAAATATTATTAGCTGATGGATGTTCTTTTCCTTTTAGATACGTAGATAACGGAGTAGCCGTCTTTTCCACACGCAAAAACGATTCGATTCTATTTATTACCCAAGACTTTGAGCGACAACTAGCTGGGTCGCTTGTTCCTCACCTTGCTTAGCTTGCTCCTATCTAACAATCCCGGCCGCCGGGCAAATCATCATGGTGGTTAATTAAATTCGCCAACAGTTTACTAGCTCGAGTTATCGTTTTGCCGACGACACGTACAGTCGTCGTCGATACGTGTCTGTCTGTGGTGATGCAATGAGATTTCTATGGATTGTTACCTGAAACAGGAACAATTAATCATCTTGTAGTATGTACTGCGTGATTATATATGATTATGTCATCAATCGTACGTCATGGCTCCTATAGTTTGGTGACGTACGTACACTGGTGAACGACAACTGAAGAAGAAGACCGAGACTTGGATATATATGATGCAGAGACAACAGCAAGCAGTCTCCACTCTCCACAGTCAGCAGCAAAGAGTAGGTAGTTACTGCACGTGTACGCACCTCTTCTTCCATCTCTCGGTCGTTGGTCCATCTCTCACTCTCACACCTCTCTCAGTGACTACTTGTTTGAGATGTAGCCTTTGGACTTTTGGGTAAAAGTTGATTTTTTTTCTAGCTTTTTTTTTTTTGAGCCTGGACTTCTAGTGTACAAGTTGTAGTATCTGTACTCTACGCAACATACTCACACCACCACACACACGCACACCTCTAGAAGCTACAACTTATACACCTCAAACGTCCTTCTGAAGATCACCGAAGCCACACGAGCCTTACGCACTAATTCTCCCATTCATCTGTACCTTACTCCCGCATCTCTTCTTCTATCTTTCATCCTGTGTTTCCACACTCCCACTATTCTCATTTTATGGGTAACAAACATAGTAGACCTGCGACAAGAGTTTGACGCATATATGGGTGGCAAACATAGACCATGGCAAGAGTCTAAGACTTGGTAGATTATTGTAGCTTCTTACAGTTACAATTTGAAGCGGCAAAACCGCTTGAGAGACAAATCCCGTGCCACAACCGTGAGGCGTACAATTTACCTTCCACGTTTTTTTTAACCTCACAACTTGTGCACACAATATATAGCCACCTATTTAATCCAGGACAATCTCTACCCAACCAAGGCATGCAGATGCTATTCATATGACTATATGACTAAGTCATTAATTCTCCATTTGGGAACAACGGGCATGTCATGAAACAATTCTTTTAGGGAGTTGCTATATTTCAGTCGCCTGAAATATATGAACCATCTCAGGCGACGTCCAGAGCCCTTGGATCTGCATCAAGGGTCAGATTTGTTCTCTGTTGTTTTTCTGTAGCAGGCAACAAAACGGGTCCGCAAATGAACCCACAAACCCAACCAAAGCAGCTACCGGGCCTGCCAAACCTTAACGGGTGCAAGATCTGATACCTGCTATATCAAATAACTACTCATTCGGCCCACAAAGCAGTTATTCGGCCCAATAAAACAGTACACAGAAATTACAGCTCTGCCACTACACCCTACAGCAAGAAAGAAACCCCGATCAATCTGGATCTAGAAGGAGAATTGGAGTGGAGAGAAGAGCGAAAATTAGGTAAAACACAAGAAGATGAACAAGGGCAAAGGATATGATCTGCCTAGGAAAAATGTACTAATCAGCAAGATTATTCTATTTCTTGCCTTCATCTCCTTTTTCTCATTGCATCAGTTCACTGAAACACCTGGACCGTAACCATTTTGCTTCTGTCTTCTTTGTTGCTGTTGCTATAGCTCTATAGTTATCCAAAGTAAAGTACACTTGTCAAACCGATTTAGATTTCCAGTTATCTGTCTCCAACAATTACAAAACAAGTATA